TTCTAGGGATGAGGGTGGGAAACCACTGTGGACATTGGCATCATCTACGAGTCTCCATTCTGCATCCCCACCCACTGGGAACCTTATTTCATCTTCGTGGTAGGCTGTTTAAAGTATCCTGTGAAGGGCATTGACACAGGCGATCCACAGAGCATGTGTAGGTCAGTATCAGAGCCAGGTGCATGGATGGCTGTGACTGGAGGATTTCATCTCCAGGGATTGCTTCATCTCAGTGCCGTATTCTGAGAAGTTATGAATTAGAGGTGTTTAAGTGTTTGAGGGGTCTTGTTGTTGTTGTTGCTGCTGTTGCTGTTGAATTACCAGGGCGACTCTCTGTTGAAATTTAAAAATAAGAATGGAGTTAGTCAACACTCCTGTCTTGTCCTCTCGTCCCCTTTCTTGCTATCTTACCAAGCCACCTTCTTGATTGTCTGTTGGCAACAGACTCACTCTTTCATTCTGGAAACCACAACTCCTTGGTACCAGTAATGGTGGTATCCCAGGCTGGGCACAATGATGGTGCCCAGGGCTGGGCACAATGGTACTGTCCCAGGCTGGGCACTGTTCTGACCTATAGGCACTAATCCCATGCCAGTATTTTCTTGGCTAAACTGTGAATTACTGTTCACTTGCCAGGATGTATTTGATTTCCTTTTGTTGCCCTTGTCACACTATCATAGACGTTCAGATATATACATAAATCTGTGACATTATTAGTCAGGTCACCTGTCATTACAGTGATGCACTCTGAAAGCCAGCATGACTCTGTGATTTGGGAAATTTGAATCCAACTTCAAGGAATGAGATCTACTGATAATCTGTGTCAGATAAACAGAAGGTGAAGCTTATTGAGAAACTGTTATTACTAAGTATGTTCTACATAAATATCTTTTGAGTTCAACTCTATTATGTTCACTAATATGTACTGGAATTTGTCAGGTTTTACTCAAGCATTCACTAGCAACAAAATCTGCTCGGGGCTCCTTATAAGCTTGCCACATTTGATAACCACAACTCAATAATCTGAAACAGTGAGTTACTGATTCAAACTTTTCTTTTTTTTTTTTTTTTTTTTTTTTTTGGTTTTTTCGAGACAGGGTTTCTCTGTGTAGCTTTGTGCCTTTCCTGGAGCTCACTTGGTAGCCCAGGCTGGCCTCGAACTCACAGAGATCCGCCTGGCTCTGCCTCCCGAGTGCTGGGATTAAAGGCGTGCGCCACCACGCCCGGCTCAAACTTTTCTTTAAAGTTTGAATTTTAACCATACATATATGGAGTGTGGTATGATAATTTGGTGTGTATATATAATAAATGATATAATTAGAGTAATTATATTACTATCTCTTTAAACATTTAAAAAAATTAAGACAAGGTCATATTATGTAGCCCTGGCTGGCCTGGATCACACTACAAAGACCAGGCTGACTTCAAACTGACAGAGATTCACCGGCCTCTACCTCCCTAGTGCTAGTATTAAAAGTGTGCATCACATACTCAAAAATGTTTTTGCTAACAGAGTTCTATATACCTGTGAGATACAACAATTTTCTTTTTTTTTTTTTAATTATTTTATTATTTTGTTTGTATGGGTATTTTGTCTGTCTGTCTGTGCATCATGTACATGCAGTGCCAGTGGAGACCAGAAGAGGGCAGCAGATCCCTTTGGAGCTGGAGTTACTGACTGCTGTGAGCCACCATGCGGGTGCTTGGGATGGGACCCTCGGGTCCTTTGGAAGAGCAGCCAGTGCTCTTAACTGCTGAGCCATTGATCCAGCCCCAGGTACATCGATTTTACTTGTGTACAATGTATACTTATCAAAGCAGGCTAATTACCATTTCCATTTCCTTAGTACTTAGTGTTTGGACCCTCCCGACTCCTCCTCTCTATTTACTCATAAAATACACAATAGGTTTTTGTGGACTGTACCTGTGCTGGCTGGCTTTATGTCAGCTTGACAGAAGCTATAGTCATCTGAGAAGAGGGAATCTCAATTAAGAACATGCCACGCAGGCTTGCCTACGGAGACATTCTAATTAGTGATCAACAGGGGAGGGCCCAGCCCATTGTGGGTGGTGCTACCCCTGGGCTGGTGATCCCGGGTTCTAAAAAAAAAAAAAAAAAAAAAAAAAAGCAGGCTGAGCAAGCCAGTAAGCAGCACCCATGGCCCCTGCATCAGCTCCTGCCTCCAGGTTCCTGTCCTGACTTCCTTAAATGATGAACAGTGATGTGGAAGGATAAGTCAAATAAACCCTGTCCTCCCCAACTTGCTTTGGTCATGGTATTTCATCACAGCAAGAGAAACCTTATCTAAGACAGTAGTCACTCCATTGACTTTCATTACTCAAATCCTTTCTGCTAAGACAGCTACAATCTAAAAGACCCAGACACAAGAATAAAAAATAAGGGCTGGAGAGATGGCTCAGTGGTTAAAAGCACCGACTGCTCTTCCAGAGGTCCTGAGTTCAATTCCCAGCAACCACATGGTGGCTCACAACCACTTGTAATGAGATCTGGTGCCCTCTTCTGTCCTGCAGGGACACATGCAGGCAGAATACTGTATACATAATAAATAAATAAATCTTAAAAAAAAAAAAAAAAAAGAATAAAAGATAAGCTACTCTGTTCTCTTGGTGCATCATCAGTTAACAGTGCCCAGCTTTATATTAAACCGCACCGGCCATTGGGAGAATGTTTCTTCTACCATTGCAGTGATAAAATACCAACTTCAGGACCAGTGGCTTTCTTTTAGCTCACAGTTCAAGGTACTGTGGGAAATCGAAGCAAGGAATACAACAACAGCTCGTCACATGAAGTCCACCACCAGCAAATGAACATTTTGGCTCCCGTTTCCCACTTTAACCAGCACACGTTCCCCCTACCCACAGAACGGTTCCACCCACAGTTAAACTGATCTTCCCACATCAATGAAGATAATCCCTCACAGATACTCTGCGGAGCTAACCTAGCTTTCCCTCACAGGTGTGCCTGAAGGCCTGCCTGCCGGAAGATTCTAGATTATGTAATGTTTGACAATTAAAACTGACCGCCACAGGAGGTGAAGTCACAGCCTGTTGTGTTTCTTTCAATCAGCCTCAGTGACTGAGAAACAAAAATGGGCTCGCTCAGGACTGAAGAGATGTCTTCAGAGGTTAAGAGCACTGGCTGCTCTTCTAAAGAACCAAGGTTCTAAGCCAGGCATAGTGGCACGTGCCTTTAATCCCAGCACTCTGGAGGCAGAGGCAGGTGGATCTCTGTGAGTTTGAGGCCAGCCTGGGCTACAAAGAAAGTTCTAGGACAGCCAGGACTGTTTCACAGAGAAATCTTGTCTCAAAAAACAAACAAACAAAAAAAAAAAAAGGTTCCATTCTCACAATGCCGCCTTCTTCCTCCTCCTCCTTTCTTCTTCTTCTTCATCTCCTTCTCCTTCTCCTCCTTCTCCTCCTCCTCCTCCTCCTCCTCCTTCTTCTTCTTCTTCAAAAGATTTATTTATTCTGTATACAATTTTCTGTCTGCATATATACCTACAGGCCAGGAGAGGGCGCCAGATCTCATTATAGATGGTTGTGAGCCACCATGTGGCTGCTGGGAATTGAACTCAGAGCCTCTAGAAGAACAGCCAGTGCTCTTAGCTGCTGAGCCATCTCTCCAGCCCACAATGCCCTCTTCTAACCTCTGCAGGCACCAGGCATGCACATGGTACACAGACATATATGCAAGCAAAACACCATACACATAAAAAAAAAAATCAAATAGTAATTTTAAAGGGGGATCCTTGTTGGGAGTAGTGGTACATGACCAGCTGTTTGGGAGGCAGAAGTAGGAAAATCATTTAAACCTGGGGTCTCCAGGCCAGCCTTAGGTCACATTTGCGGGTAGGGTGAAGGTTATTTAAGAATGTAGGAGGAAATACATATATGTGGGATATGTAAATATAGTCAAAGGAGAAGCAAATATGAAGACACAGGCCTAGGAATGAGGGATTAGGGTATGTGATACAATTCCAAAGTCAGAAGAGAATCTGATGGGGAAACCAGAAAACTGCTGAGCTTTCGGTCAGAGGGTGGATGGATGCCGAGGGTCCTGTAAGGACTCTAAGGTCAAGAAGAACAGAGCCTAGAGAGATAGTGGAAGAAGAAATAAGGCAGTCTAGCTTCAGAGAAAAGGACAGAAGAGCAAAGGCCGCACGGAAAGGCCTTGATTCCTCCAGCTGTTGAGAAGATGGAAGATTCTGTGGTAGATAGGTTGCTGAACAGGCAACAGGGCCATCTTTGTTTAGGTTACGTGTTCTACATTAAGTCAGCTCTTGGGCAGGGCTTTGTTTTGATCCTAGTTAATAGGAGACAGATGTCTGGCATCTGGTCCTACAACCGAGTGTGGCCACTGTTTCTGAGCAGCTGATAGTCGTGCCTGGGCCAGACTCTGGGGAACAGCGTCCTACCAACAGTGGTACAGCCAGAGCAGGTGGGACATGGAATGTGAAGTGACTGACCTGAATCACATGGAAGATGAGGACATCGTTTGTTCTGACTTTCGTCATTCATATTTTGATAACTATTATCCTATTGGTAATATTATATTCTAAATTCCTTTTTTTTTTTTTTTTTGAGACAGGGTTTTTCTGTGTAGTTTTGGTGCCTGTCCTGGAACTCACTTTGTAGACCAGCCTGGCCTCGAACTCAGAGATCCGCCTGCCTCTGCCTCCAAGTGTTGGGATTAAAGGCATTCGCTACCACCACCCGGCTGTATTTTAAATTCTTATAAAATTTTAGCATGGCATAGCTAATACATCTGTATAGGTGACATGCTTTATATTTCTAAGATAGCTATTGTGTTCATGGCTAAACTGCATCAACCAGCTATATTGGGTTGAAAGCTCTTAAAAGGATCTACTGAACTTACTCCAGAAGCTTCCACTGATTTAAGGGATAGACCAAGTCATCAAAGAGAGCTTTGAGGGCTGGAGAGATGGGTTATTCATTAAAAGTCTTTGTTGCTCTTGCAGAGGACCCAAGTTCGGTTCCTAGTACCTCTATGGTGGTTTGAAACTGTAACTCCAGTCCCAGGGAACAGGTGCCCTCATCTGACCTCCTCCAACACCAGGTACGCGCATGGTGCACAGACGTACGTGCAAATCACTCACACCCTTAAAATAACTTTTAAAACATTAAAGAGAATAGCTTTGTCTAAAACTAGACCTATTTGTGAAATCCCTCTACCTCACCCTCAAGCAGCTTCCATGCTTTATTCTGGAGACCTTTGGGAGCCTGTGTAAGACAGCTGTGAAGTTACTGTGAACCACGGACAGGGCAGAGTGCAGAATGTGCTTCTCACAAGGTGGCCTTTTGGAAAGAATTGCATAAAGTCAGATAGATGAATGCATTTAAAAGCAAGGATGTGAAGAAAATGCCCTGGCGAGTCCACATTATCTCTGAGGGAAAGGCAAAGGCCTGGGAGGAATATTCTTGGCTCTTATGACCAAAGAGGGCACACCAGGTGTATTCCCTTCCCTGCTTGTATCTGCTTAAGCTAGCTGTGAACGGCACCTCAGGCCTTGTGGCTTTAATAATAGAAATGAGAGTGCTTTGTTTACATGACCATTGGTCTCAGGAGCCTGGAGTCCCATTTTGACCCCACTCAGATCTTTGGATTATATCCTTCAATCCTTAAGACTTAACCTCACTGGCCAAGTGGTGCATCAACAGACATCTTTTGTGGCTCCTTTGTTGAACATTTTTCAGGAATCCTCTGTTCACTTTATGGTTGAACTCCGGGTCCTTAGCATCTCTTCCACTGTCCTCCTAATTGCCTCTTTGTCTCCATAGTCTCCTCCTTTGCCATTTCTTTGCATGCACCGCTTTGAAAATTTAGTCAATCACACACTGTCTTCCTGCATTCTGAGATGCCCAAGTATCAAAGGAACTGTCATAACTATTGGTAATTTTTTTAACCAACCAATTTAAAACCATCCAGATAAATAACTTTGAAAACTTTTTTCTTTCATGTTTAAAAGAAAAATGTGTATGGGTGTTTAGCCGGTGCACCACATGCATGTGCCTGGTGCCCTGGAAGCCAGAAGAGGACAGACAACTAGAGTCACAGGCAGAGCTGCTGTGTGGATGCTGGGACTCACCCGTGGTTCGAGCTGAGACGATTGTTACAGGTCATTCTTGTAGGGTGCCGTGTCTCCATCTGAGGGGTGAACTAGATGTTTCTTGTTTTTCCTTGCCCCTATGTGAAAATGGGCTCCCAAATGATTAATTTCATTGCATTAAACCCCATACTTGGTTTCATCCATTTGTGCTCAGCTGTCACCCACCCAGCTTGCAGCAAGCAGGGCTGAAGAAAGCTCTCCCTCTGCTCCTAAACCTACACTGATGCCCACCCAGCAGTCATGCTTTCCCTGTGTAGATACGGCGGTCAGGCGGCTAGACCAGCCAGCACTTACACTGTTGCCGGGAGACCCGGGTGAGTTTTTCTTAAATGTATTTTATAATACTGCACAGTCAGATCTACCTTCCAAGGCCGTGTGGGCTCCACCCATGGCACATTTATTCCTTATCTGGATTTTTCAGTGTAATTAGGAAGGAGAAATGAGGAGGAGAAAGAACATCCCATCTTTCCAGGTCTCTGGCTGACTGTCCTCTGCATCTAGCCAAGGTTTGTATCAACCACCTCACAAATGCCCCGGGTGTCACCAGGGCTACATTCTCTGTGGGATATATACTGTGTATGTGAGCTAAAGCACTACCTGACCTTAAACAGCTAATTTGAAGAGAGGGGGGAAAAACTACAAGAAAAACAAAGTGACTATGGCAGAGATGGAAGAGATGCAAATGGATGGGGGGAAGGTATCTGAGCAAGGTTTCCTGAGACTTGTGAGCTGATGTATAGATGGCAGATGGATAAAAGAAACATTGTTTCAAGAAAAAACTGTTACAATTATTTTACAAAGCAACCTAGTTGTCCTTTCTAATCTTAATGACTCATCACTGTGGCAATAAACTTTTGTCTAAAAAAGTTTTCCAAGAAAAAATTGATTTTAGCTAGAGGGGTATGCACTTCCACAAATTTTTCAGATAAACTGTATTCTCTCACATTTCTAACACACTTTCACTTCTGAATATTCAAGATTGCAAGAAGGCTGACCACACAGAACTTTCACTTAAACTTCCATTTTTTGTTTTTTGTTTTTCTCACACAGGTGGTTTTTCAGGTTTTCTTAAAACTTGTCTGGGAATGGTGCTGCAGGACTGCAATCCCAGCACTGGATGGGGGAGACGAGCACCTGAGGCTGGAGGATAGCTGTGAGTTTCAGGCTAGCCCGGAGTACTTATCAAGACACTTTTCAAAACAACCATCACACCACACAACAACAACAACAAAAACTGACAATCACAATGAAACACAATTTGTACTGGAGTTCAGCAAACTTTAAACTCACAGCCACGCTTTTATCTCCATGCACACCAGGCCCAAATTCGTCTCTGATTGTTTCAAGGTAAAGTTTGCTCCATTGTGAACGATTCATGGTCAAATCCACGCAGATTCGAAATCAAGGAGTCAACTGTTCGGCTATTAGAGAGTAAATAAGTCCGCTACGGTAGTGGTGTAGAGGGTTAAGGGGATTAGAAGTGTGTTACTCTGTTTCAACCTTGAATGGATGGAATTGCTCTAAGGGGTGAAGCTCCGGGGTGAATTCTGAACACGCTTTCTAGAATTTCTTAATTGCGATTTTCAACATCACACACGCCACCTAATTTTGCAAAGTAACATTAGCTCCCCTGATTTTGATAGTTTTATTTATTTTTATTATTATTTACACCCAGCATTGTGCGGACATCGCTGCCTCCTGGACAAAGCTGGACGCCCCAGGGTGGACACGGGGCAGACAGACTTAACCACAGCTCTGCGGGGAGCCTTTCCCCGGGACGACGGGCTGTGTCCGCGGCTCTCCGGTGCTGCTGCTGCTGCTCCCGGGCCGCCCCGAAACGCAAAGAAAGGACGAGGCGCCCACCGAACCCGCACCCTCGCCGCGGGGCGGAGCGGGGGAGGGAGGGAGGGAGGGAGGGAGGACGGAGAAGCAGAGGCAGTGGAAGAGCAGGGGGAGGGAGGGAGGACGGAGAAGCAGAGGCAGTGGAAG